TGAATAATAGTAAAAATTGGGTTTGAGAAGTTTTGTCATTATAGAAAACTTACGAAACTAAGGCCAGGCATGACGTCTTGTACCTTGTCCTCTCCTTCTATTTATGCAGTTTATCAACTTGCTTTGATGGGAAATCTTCCTGCTCAGTTCTGATGTTTGACAGTCTCCAATGATTCATTAACCTTTGCAGGAAATCAGAAGATTCGTTTATTATTTTTATCCGAGATTTGAAAGAAAGTCTAGTTTCTTAATGATGGGGAGGGTCTGATGAAGGACAGACTTGTTAGCAAGTAATTGGATCACGTTCTATGTAGTCGACTATGAGTTCAATAGACTTTAGCGGACAGTGAACCTAGACGTTTTCTGAAGGATACGGCATTGAAACTTATGCTTCAGCAAATAAAGTGATGGAAAGTTTGTCATGTAAATATTAGCGTACATGACTTGACAGAGACAAGATTTGAAAGAATAACTTACTGTACAAGAAGGTTTGTTGGTCATAACCCATAAGCACATGTACTACATTGTATTACATTGTGTTTAGTCCATGATGAAACCATAAACTCATGTGGTGCTGGGCGGTATGGGGTGTATCAGGAGTATATTATAGAAAAATTGGAGGTTGTTGCCGGACTCAGACAATGGATTTAAACTCTTGCTTTTAAGAAGCAAGAGTTGGTAAATAATGCAAATACGAATAATTGCTGTAGGTTCTACATTTGCAGAGCAATAAGCTGTGCATGGAGACATATGACAGATCCTGTTATGATGAGAGTTCTTGAGTTGAACTACCAAACAGCAGTGTGTTTGAAATGAATATTTGTCTTAGACCTTTGCTGCCTCTTGGGTACTTACCCTGCTGTCATCTATGACTCCAACCCTCACTTGGGAAATGAAATGATAACAAATCATCTTGAGTTCCTGTCTTGCATCGCTATTCAGCCTTGGATTGGTTTAAATGAAATGCTGTCTCACAGAAAGTTGAAAGTGGCAGCTTCAAAAGATCAGGGACTAAGAGAATGGGTGATGGTTAAATGCTTGCTGGCTTCATATATGATGTGGGGTGAGGAAGGAGCAATCTTGGGCAATCTTGGGTTGTAGTCTTTTAAGTTGGCATGTTGTTTATGGAATACATGTATGAATGTTTATGATGTGTGTGTTTCCATGATCTTGGTTACTAGAGATTTTTGGGTTGATGTCTTGCTAAGACATTGACTCACATGGCAGTGTCTGTGATGCATGTATCAGAAACGTATTCCAGTCACATTGGATGGTTTGCTGTGAGTGAAAAGTTCTCTGTTCAGTTCAATGTAGTACATGTACCTCCCATGCATTTATTCATCACCAGATGCTTTGTACAAAAGATAACACCATTCAAATGGTTTGTATTTAACTTTCATTACTGGTCAACATCCATGACAACATTAAAGTCTTTTTAACATGTTGATCATTACTGGACTTAACTCGCCAATCATTTATTCTTATGTTTTACTTCTCCATATATGCAAACAAATGGAAAGACACAACAGCTCAAATGTGGCATCACAATTTCATTGTCTCTCTGAACACACTAAAATGTGCAATAAAGAATCTAATAAACGAAATATTCACAGAGGTGTGTGAGCCAAACAAAGTGCAATAGAGCCTAGTTCCGATGTAACCTCATCGTAACCAATAATCCAGCGGAATTGATTGAATTCTAAGATCCTGCAATTAAAGAACTTCATCTCAAAAAACCCCTTTTATGAGACCCAGGGTTGTATTTCAATAGCATCAGGGAACACAACCGGACTTGAAACCGTGCCGCTAGAGACAATTTAACACCTGAGAGAACACGTCGTTGATTGCCCGGTAGTTAGCACGCTGCTTTCCACTATCCAGACCATTCCAGACGATTGAACCCTCTTTTCATACTGTTACGCCAAGCGGTGACACTTTGTTTTTAATAATCCTGCTGAGTTCTGTGAGGGTATTCACCCTACTAGTGCACTAGACAGACACGCTCATCACAGAAGCCAAAGGCTCTAGCAATCTGTGGGAAACTTTCTGACATGAAGGATGTATAGAATCAGGACTATGTACTCAAGTCATTTGATTAAGTCACCACCAGAAATGAGGGTTCTCTGTATTTGGAAATTCAATCTGTCTGGCCTAGTCTGCCGGAGGCAGAGGAGTTCAAGAAAATTACCTGTCCCGCTGCTCAGGTATTTTAGTTGCAATCTAAATCAAATGTTTAAACTGTTAACTTCCCACCGGACTGGGAATTGTTTCTTTCCTTAGAGGTTCCTTTTGTACTTTCAAAAAGTAAGAAGTTTATTGTATTGAAGTTATGGTGCACACAGTCTCAAGTGGTCAACAGTGACCTTTCTATTCATGTGCTTTACTTATGATTGATGCTCTGAGAGGTGTATGTGATGGAAGTGGGATGGCAAGGAGGCATTAACCCCTCCCCCCATTTTGTTGAAGGGGTGAATTTTGCCCTCTTGTTTCTTACAAACTGACAAGTGTACCTAATGATGCACAGATTACATTTTGCAACAGCACCCCGAACACCAACCCCCCCCCCCCCCACCACACTTTCAAAAAAATATAATAAACACTGTGAGGGGGATCACTTGATGTTTAAGAATAGTGTGACACTTTGTATTCCTGAATAGAAACAAGTATCTTAGGAAAATTAATATTTTCTAAACTACCTTTTAGAAGCACTTTTGCTTAGGAACATCTTTATTTTACTAAAATTAAAACCCAGTTCCAATTTACAAATGTATAATCCTTGGTGCAGAAGTGTACGAGACAATCACACTGGGATTTAATTTATATGGAAATAACCATTATTGTGGTCATAACATCGATAATTAAGTCTTAGTCTCCCCCCCCCCCTTCCTCCCCCCTCAAGCAAAAATAAAATCCAGATTATAAATTTAAAACTGAGTATGTTTTTTTTATTCACCGAATCACTCCTTTCCTCTACTCCAGATTTCAATTTTGTAAAAGCTGTTGAAATGCCACTGCTTTCTCTTTATATGGTTGAATTTGTGCCTTTTGAATTGAATCGATATTGATTTATTACAGACAGTGGATGTGGTATCTGTAAAAGTGCACATCTGCAAGAATTATAATTGAATAGGTGAAGCTGAATGGTTGAGATCAATAAGATTTAGGGCATCTAACCCTGGTGTGATTTAGAAGTCACAATGGAATTAAAACGCTTGGTTGGTTTTCAATAGTTGCGACCAAACGTTGAAAAGAAATAAAATGAATATTCTGTGTCAAGTAAACATGTGCACTTACTTGCACATGTACTGCCAAGCGGTCGTTGAACCCTTCAGTTCAATGTTTTGAACTGAAGAGATTTTATTTTATCAAAAATAGAAAACCGATATGAAAATATATGTCTAATTTTATAGCACTTGATAAGAGAGGTCTGGGGTTCGAAGCCAGTCAGTGAACCCTGTATTGTGTGTTATAAAGGAGGGGGGGGGGGTATTGCTTTGTGGATACACGAATGGCAAAATATGACATCATTGACTTCTCCCTGATGCAACATTCCACCACACAAGTCATAACATAAAGAGCTCAAGTCTAACCCAGTCTGTAAAACTCACTGATATTCCTCCAAAATAACAAAGTCAGAAAAGGTAAACAACCAAACAAAAATCTGGGAACAAAGATAGTCCATAAATACTCTCTACATTCATTGACAAGGTTCACTGGCCGTCGGACTGCAATCCAGACTCACTACAGTCAAGTAATTCATTCTTCCACATGAGCAACCACCATATCTTACATTTAGACATTATTCTTGACGAAGCATAGCAGACTGATTAGAGCATGCAGCACAGTGGATGTTGGATCAAACAGACTCCCTAGCTAATTTGATATTAGTTGAAGTTGATTGCACAAGTGTGTATCCAGGTGCCTTATCATGGTTTGTCTGGATAGGCAGGTTCACTATCCTCTCTCTGTCTGGGCATGGAGGTTGGGCTAGTCTTTGTTCAGTGTCTGCAAGTCACTTGTCACTCTGATTGAATGCAATTATCATTCATTCCTTCTACCGTTTTGTTAAGTTTGTAGTACTCTTCAAAACTTGTTTATAAATAATTTAATGAAGCTTTAATAACAAAACCAGTTAGGCAAACTTGAGTTCAAACCAAACGTCACCAATTTGAGATTGAAAAGATGTTGCATCTGGAAGTCTCTTGAAAAGTCTTGAAAAGTCAATAATGCAACCCCCTGGAATAAGAAGATTGTTGAAGGCAAAGTTTTATGTAAATTGAACTTTAATTTAACATTAGAAAATGCCATTAATTAAAGAGCCTCAACTACATGTATGATCATACATGAACAGCACCCAAGCATAAAATAACATCCCCAACCCCTCTTGTTCTTGTTGTTAATTTCTGTACCTTTGGTAATCCTTAGTGAGCATACCGGGTATGATATATATGTGATATATAGAATACAAAGTCGGTCTCTTTGAATGAAAAAAAAAACACTTCAGAAGAATTTCCTATCAGCAGTAAGACTTGTTGCAACTTGTCCTTGGGCTATTAATAAACATCTACATGTACATACATGTAATATTCATCATTTTTATGTAGAAATAGTCCCTACGATGTTTAACAGTGGTCTTTTCAATTCCATCACAAGTCCAGTCAATAGTAAATCACAAGTCATTTCACAGTCCCATCACAAGTAACAGAGGATGAACAGTAACAAAGGAATGTCATTATTACAATACGTTTGAATACCTTGTGACTTGACTTATGACTGGATTACTTGTGATGGACTTGTGATGGACTCAACAACCACAGCACTGCTGTTAAATTCAAACGTTTATCAGGAATTCCCTTTCCAACACCCTCCAGACAACCCTCAGTCAGCTCCGCCTCCCCCTCCCCTACCCCATCCCCTACCCCATCCCCTACCCCATCCCCTACCCCATCCATTCTGATGAGATTGATATCTGACTGACACTATCATCTTTCTCGTCACAGAGGACTTGTCATCAGGTGTCAAGGTGATTGATTTTGGTAACGCTATCCACTGTGTCTATGATGAGCTGTCATTATACTATGATGATTTTGAGCTGCAGACGTTACTGTATCGGGCACCGGAGGTAAGTCAGAGAATTGATTTGGCCACTATCTCTAACTCCCTAACTCCCTCTAGCATTTTTGTCATGGGATCGTTCCTGAATCCTCTCAAATTCACCACTGTACAAGAAACCAACAGCTCATTCTTTGTATCGTAATAGAGCCTCAAATGACAATTCATGTAAAAGTGAGGAGCACCTTCTTCAATCCTACAAAATACCGACCACTTCAAAATCTCTCAGATGATTTTGAAGGATTTTTATTTGTAAGGGGTGTATCAGAGGCGGGAAGGGTTCTTTTGAGGCAGAGTTCATATGAGTTTTTCTCTAAATATTGTCTCAGGTGGTAAGAAGATATCGAAATAAAAAATAAAAAATTGATACAGAATTAAAGAATGAACCATCAATAAGTGAGGATGTAATGCTTTTGTCATTGCCTGGGCATGTTATGAATGTAATTGTTGGTGTTGGTTTGAATACTAATCAGCTACATGTACGTGGTAATGATTACTTCATGTAGTCCTAAGTGAAAACAAAATGTTTGAAGCAGTATAAACTGGGACATGTTCTCTGAGGAAGGTTAGTTTGCTATTATTATAGGATCTCATTTAAGATGACCGTAGGTACATGTTAACTTGTGTATGACGTTGTGTTTCCAACATTCAACATTCAATTTGGTCAAAGATGGAAAAGGAAAAAAGGAAGTCTTTCCTTGACTTAAACAATTCTTATTGAGACATCTCGACACCAGTTTTACACCTGAGTTATGATTTACTATAATTTTAATTGTTTAAAGTCTGAATGTTTCAATGTCATCAAAGCTCAAGTCATCTAGATATGTCAGTTGATAGTCAGGGTGGGTAGAGTTATCTCACGGAGGCAAATGAATCTCCTCTCGCCTCATTAAGCGCTGAGTTGCACGCTCCTTGCATTAAGTTGTGGCGTGAGGATTTATCCAATAACACAGGTGGTTGTGGATCAAGGGCAACTCCAAGGCAACATAGGGGGAATTTTGTATTGACTGTCAAGCTTGACAACATTGACCATGAGATGGTCTGAATATTAACCAATATCGCGCTCCAAATCGGTCAGTTGCGTAATCTAAGGTCGGGCCTCTGGACTGGATGGCTACTTGATTCAATTTACTGACGACCAGTAGCACGGTATTGAGTTTGTTTCTTGGATTAAGGAAGAAGGCAGTTGCTGAAAGCTTGTTTCATTTTCTAAGATTGTTCACTCAGGGCACCTGTACATCATGTACATGTAGCATGAGGCACCCCCTCCTAACCCTACTGTACCTCTGGGAAAATTACAGACAGACTAACTTATTTAAAGTATGCTGGAATTTTGTGCCGAGGAGATGTACATTGTCAATATTTGGTTTTGCCCTTCACTAATATAATTTTACGAGTACTGTGTGTACATGTACATGTGTGTACATGTACATGTATGTACATGTACAAATGCATACTCAGCGCAGTCCAACAGCTTGTTAGGAAAAATCCACAATGAACCCAAGACATCTTGCTTTCTAGTGAAGATGGTTTAACCACTCCACCAGCCAGCTTGCTGCAGTTGGCTGGTCGGATTGAATCTGATACAGCAGTGGGTGCTGCAATCAACTTGTTTTTGTTTTATTTTTGGTATTTTTTCAAATTCGGTTTTTGCAAAATTGCAGACCTTGAGATATAATGTACTGTTGCCACTTGGGTAGCAATTTCAGTAATTGTCTGTTTGTTGTTTAGTAAGTCTTGGTGTTCCCATGGTTTTATAGCCTTGGCAGTTAGCCAGCCACAATCATTCTGAATGCATCATATTATCACTCATTGATTGTCAACGGCGCCATGAGCAGACATCATCATTCACTTCAGATGAGTTTAATCAATTTGGCAGTCATATTTGTTGTTGTGTAACCATGGAACTTGGACCTTAGACATAGAGACATGAAGAATGAACATTTGTCATTCTGTGGAAGCTGACTTGATTACATTTAATATTTGTCCATTATGTATTTGATATCAGACTTCATGTACATGTAAGTGATATAGTACCTCTAGTTGAGAGGAAAACTGGACGACATTAACAGAAATGCTGTTGCCAAACACGTACCTGCAGAATTTTCTGGTAGTGCGTATGTGTAAAAGATATAGTCCATCATTTGTAATTTGCTCATTTTGTTCGTTTGAAGCAACAAAAGTGTTCAAAATCTAATGAAGGATACTGAACAACTAACCTGATGAACTTTCAGCTCAGCTCAGAAAAAACAGCATTCTAGGATCTCAATTTCAAATCAAAAGTTGCTGAATCATGTTTTGAATTGGGCCTGAATTCGTCTGAGACGCGTTCTCACTGAGCCGATTGCAGCTATACGCGATGTCGCGCACTGATCCGACGAATTATAGCAACCGCGCACGCGTGTGCGACGTGCCAATGCTTGCGCGCGCTTCGCCGAATAACAAAACGAACTACTCATTTAAATTTTCCTACGGTGCGTTCTTTCGTTGATTACTTCAAAATGACAGCTTGCCGGAAAGAGTAATTTCACAGGGAGTTTAGTCCCCTTACTATCTTTCAACCAAGTAAAATTTCAACAATAATTTGCCAGTTACTTTTCGGATGGCTGCAAATGATGGACTATAGCTTTAAGCAATTTAAGAAACAAGAGGTTAAGTGCAAAATTATATTGGCATTACGGCCTCCACACATACACATATACATGTACATTACGTGTTCTATGCTAAAAAGAAAGACTGGCACAGAACAAAATAGTAGTTTAATTTTGATCTCACAAAACAATCAATGGAAGGCGGTATTTAACTGCATAATTAACACACTTGTGATTGGAATCTCACTATTTTTGGCCTCGCACTGTCATCATTTGTTACACTGGACGCCTTTTATGTTTGCCGCTGCTTCAAAGATAGAAGAGAGCCGGCTTGGCATCTGTTGTATGGAATCCTTTGGATCAGGTTTTATTGGGTCAGAACCTGTCGATATTTTGCATATTGAACCAACTCTTCAAACAATTGCAGCTGATTCCACACATTTATTATGGAGATCTCCCCCAAATCCCCACAAAGTCAATAACAAATTACACCTCAAATTTGCTATTTTCTCCCCTGCATGCGATATAGGAATGTCATTAATCAACTTTCTGTCCACAAAATGCTGATCTAAGCTTTGATAAATTTGGACATTGCTGCCTGTGAACAGTGCGCATGATTTTTTGTCAGCATGCAAACTTCATATTTATCACCTTGGTAACCAGAGATTGTTGACATTGTATAGAAGCAGTTGTCATGTGGCATGGTCCTTTTTTTAGTGTTCAGGTGTAGTTTATTTAAATCATAACATCATTTTAACCTTGATCAGGCAGCAATCACTAGTTGCACTGAAGACAGGGAGATGTACTCAAGCAACATTTCCTTCCCCTTTGAAATGGTATTGATAGCTCAAAGACACACAATGTATCCGTGATCATCATTTATTGCCTTTACCAAGGCAATTTGGATCATGAATAGTGCAATGGGGGTTTGAATAGGGTTTCAACCCCAACAACACCCCACCCCATCCTACCATGCCCCCCACTACCCCTCCCCCCACTACCCCTCCCCTTGGTAAAGTAAAAAAGTCACCATTTTAATGAGATTTTAACATATACCCGGTACATGTAAGTTGACATTAGAAGCTTCCAAAACAGTGCCAACTACCGGCACTGCCAGATAAACTTTCACATTCCCGATCTTGTCACTGACATAATTGCATAATTTTGTATTACTCTCTGGCAGAGTACAATGCTTTTTTAAATTGGCCAATCCATCTGAATGCCTTTTGTATCCATAATTAATAGATATTGCCAAGAAATGACCAGCTTCCCAGAAATCAACCTTGAAACTTGTGCGCTCTCGATCCGTTCCAGTCATTAATTTTCACCCTAATTGAAAAATCTGCATTGTGTAATATTGGCACGTGCACAAGTTGGCTTAATTTTCACAGAACCATGACCTTGAATTCATGCATTGTGTACTCTCTAGGGCATTCATCGCTACAACGAAAATGGTAAATGCAGTTTCATCAAGGAAAGTCTTTGTCATACGATTGACATCATTTATTATCTCTAGCTTTCCCCACCCAACTCAAGGGCAAGGATGAAAGGAACTGAGAATGGATCATTTTATGGAGAAGAAGGTGCAGATCAACTTGTCGTGATTGAAGAGAGAGAGAGAGACAGAGAGACAGTACAGTCAAATGAAAGTACAGGCCCTGGGCTGAATAGCTTAATTGGTAGCGTGTACACGTATTGGTTTTTCAATTACATTCCGAATCAGTTGATTTTCTTTGCTCAACTACAGCAAACGACATTCAATGAATCGTGTCTTTTCCTCTTGCAGTTTACATAATGGTTTACTTTTCCAATTTTGTTCCAGACAGACCCGAGGTAGCAATAGGGCCTATGATCACTCTGCTAATAGTCCCTGTACCGCCCCAAACCACCCAAGCACTCAATGGTTTGATGGGTTCTTCTGTGAATAAATACAATGTCATACAAATGTACCTGTGCTAATAGGTTAAAAGGGCACAGTAATCGTAAAGCTCATATCACACAGTCGGGCCTGGACACAGATGCTTACAGTACCAGCATCACTGGTCAGTCATTATTCCGTGCCTGGCAGATGTTTATCGGTTCAAAAACCTTTCGTAAGCATTGTGACAAATTTATTGCTCTGACTTTTTTCCCAAGTTTGAACTTTGAAACCACTCGGCTTGCAGATGTCCATCAGGTCTGAATCCAGTGTCAGTATGAACAAATCTCTTGTGAATCCAACCAATTTAAGGGGATTTTTGTTTGGTCAAATTGCTTGAGCCACAGCTATTCATATCCACGGGCCAATTGATGATCCTTTGTCACCTGGGCATTGGCTGCAGGTGCTTCTTGGATAAAGTTGACTTCTTTGTCCCTCAGGCTGGAACTGTATCACCAGTAATTCCTTACAAAGATCTAGAAAAACTAGGAAGAATGGATG